GCACCTACCCACTGCTACCATCACAGAAGCAATTTGGGTGGAGAAGACACATTCACAACCATTTCCTTCCCTGAAAGAAGCTTGGATCAGGTAGGATACCATGGAGGGAGAGCAATGACTGCTGAGCCTGCTCCAGGCAGAGGGCAGGATGGATGGTATCAGGGTTGGGCTTGGGCTGGGAACATGCAACTGAGTGTCAGAGAGCCTCCAGGGAGAGACAGGGATCAAAGAGCCAGGCCTAGGAGAATGTGGCAAGGGAAGACCTGGGATGAGAAGTGGCTGTGCAGAATTCACTGCAACCCTGAAATCAATGGATCACTTGCTCAAATCAAGTCCAGAAGCAAGGATCTGCCTGTGAAAAGCAGGGCGAGAGATGTTAATAAACCTTAAATGTTCTCTTCTGTCTGGTCAGCTTGTGCCTTTGGGTCACTTACACTAAGACCTCCCAAAAGAGTTGGTCTGAAAGTGCCAAGAACATCCCTCTCACTTGGCTTCAGCAGGAGAAATGTGGCCCATATAGAAAGGGGCGGGTTGAGCTGGAGATTAAGGCACTGAAATTCAGCTTCTGATGTGCCTGTGTGCCCTGTGAATCCTACTGTGATCATTTTAACAGCAGTTTGGGTACCTAGCTCATGTAGATACCTGCAGTTATGTCCCAGTTTAAGCTGAAGCCCACTTGCAATGAGAGAGTGGATGGGACTGCACATCTCCATCCAGATAGCAAAACCAGGCATTAGACAAGTGCTTTCCAGAGGAAGCAAAAGAGGACCAAAAGCTCTACTCAAATAGAAAAATGATAACAGGGAACTATTTTTTAGTTCTCAGTTCCAGGTGATTTAAGTAATTGGAAAATCACAGTTGTGAAACTGCTCTTTGCAGAGCATCATAATCAACCACACAACTCAGCAGGGCCTAAGTGCAGCAGAGTGGCTCTAAAGACCCCTTAAGAAATGTGCTTTTCTGGGGGAGACTTGTCATTTTGAGATGGCATCTCTAGGAACAGCAGCTCCTTCAGAAAAGATGAAGCCTTCAGGACCATAAGGATGCAGTGATTTATGTAATGCTTATTAAAAGACTTTAGCCAGCTTGCTGACAGACACTATCATTCCAAGGTCTTCCTTCTGCAAGAATACTAACTGTAAATAATGGGCAACTCTAACAGTGCAAAGAAAACTCTGAGCACTTGGAAGATAATCACCTCCAGTCTGGGAGACATAACTGAGGAGAGCACTACTGATTTGGACAAGGGAGATGACTGCTCACACAGCTAAAGCCAAGCTTGTGCTTGCATATCATGCTCAAGTGATACCTACATAAGGGCTGTGTCTTCTCAATGATGTATTCAGATCACGCATCCTCCCCTTCACATTATTAACTTTGACTCAGTGCTTCGAATTCTGCTCCAAGCAATCCATAATCTCCAACCAAATAATCATAAGGGCCCTGCTGGCCTTAAAACATATGTCTCTGACAATAGCAATAAACCTATTTATTACTATTGTGACCACTGAAGAAAAGTCCATGCAGTGCGAGCATCACATCATCCAGATTTATCTGTAAAGCGAGCCATAGCCAGCATTTACTAAAAGGATCAGATAAAAATATTACTCTTAAGATCTACTGATCATGTATGTGGGCATTTAGATAGAGACAGTTACCACTATAAAGACTGGGATAGGAAAAAAGACATAAAATGAGATTAAGACAGAAGGATATAAGCTACCATAAAAGTAACTCAATAAACAGAGTTCTGAGCTCAAGTCTGTACCATCCACAGCAGCATCCCACCACTATAAAGGCAGGGATGCATTAGGGTCAGGTTAAAGAAATCCAAGGATGGGAAAATGGTTCTTACATAGACACAGGTTTTGCCCAGATGCCCCAGACAGTGTGATGTGGGAAAGGGCACCTACTTCAAAGCTTTAGGACTAGCAAGTGTCTATCTCTGGTGCTCGCTAGAGCAAAGCGGCTACTGCCCCAGAGGTTCTGAAGCAATAAATGTATTGACAGAATAATGATAACATGTTTGCAGTAGAAAATTGCCTATATTCAGGCAGTGTCATGCTATAACTCTGCAACAATATCAGGCAGTCTAAGAAATAGGAAGAGAAAGATTTGGAGATATTTTCAGCTTTTAAAGAGAATTAAGCAAAATGGAAATCACTAGCAATACGTGCACTAAAATAGAATTGCACACAAAAACAGGGGAACTGTAGGGGCTCCACTGGGGTATCTTTACATATTTAAGAACACAAATGTCTGCAGGACCAAACAAGCTTTACAGCCTTCACTTCCCTCTACTGATACATAAAAAACAGGGGACTTGCAGAAATAGAGTTAATTCACCACTGGATATGCAGAGAGAATAGCTGTAATAAAAATTAATGTGCTCCTTGGCTAGTATTTATTTTTCAAGTGCTCCCACTAAAATCCTGGGTACAATAGAGGCAGGAGAGCAAGAGGACATTTCAGACTTTTATGGGTAAAACAACCCTCAATCATGAGCGGGAGAGCAGGGGAAGTGAAAGGAATGTCATTCCCCCATGTAAAAAATGAATATATGATCAAAGCTAGACTATGAAAGGTTTTCTGGTGCTGCAGATTGTAACACCAGTTTTAGGAGCTTTCCCCCTTCTCCACGGAGTACCTTTGGAGCTCGTAATACGTCTGCAGCTGGAATAGGCTCTTGTGGCTGCTCTCAGAGCGGCCGATGTCAGTGCATATTAGTTGACTGGGAGCTCTCAAATCCCGTTTTCCCCTTCAACCCCCTGTCCCTCCCTTCATGGGGAAGATAAACAGCGACACAGAAAGGTATTTTGAATCCAAAAAGCAAGGAGCGTTATGACAGACAGAATAACACACCAGATTCTGTACTTAAAAAAATCCATTTATTGGCCAGCAAACAGCCTTTAGTATATATATGTATCTATAATTTTATTTGCTTACTTCCTTCCATAAAAGTTTATTCTGCCTAAGATACTCACTAAGATTTTATCAAGGGTAATAATAGTGATGTGATATGAGTGGATCTATAATGCTTCAGGCCCTACCTATTGCCACCGATGGCAGAGGGAGGCAGCTTAGATTTTAAAAGGATGAGATGGGAAGCCTCTGGCACCAGCAGAAATGAAGCACAGAAGGGAGAGTGCAGCCCCTTTTACAACAGTGTATCTGGGATGTTAAGAGTGACTTTTCAGCATCAAAGCTGTCCTACTTCCAGAGCCTTATCATATTTGCCAAAGCACAATTGAGGGAAAAGGACTTCAGCAAAAAATTACATTCCACAGGAAGGCTTGGTAATAAATAAATCACATCCCACTTCTAGAAACAATTTCCCATGATCAATAATGAATAAAAAAAAAGTGAGGTCCAAAGAAGTGTTGTGACAGCATGACATGTAAGTGAGTGACAGCAAGGATTTTGCTTTAGCAGCAAAATCAGTGCCTGATAAAACATCACATTTCCCTAGACTAGAAAGGTGCTGCAGAATAGGAAGAAAAACTCAACACACCCAACAAGGGCCCTGCAGCACAGCCCAAAGACAGATCAGGTTCTGAATATAAAGCTACCTCCTGGGCTCGGAGTTGCTGTGCTGCACAGACAAAACTTGGCACCAGCACATAGGTGCAGAGATGAGAGAGTAAACTGCTTGCACTGAGGACCAGGACAGCTTCAGATTTACACAAAGGCTGCTGAGACCAGGATGATGATAGAATGTTTTGTAAGGGACCTTAAAGCTCATCCAGCTCCAACCCCTGCCATGGGCAGGGACCCCTTCCACTAGAGCAGCTTGCTCCAAGCCCCTGTGTCCAACCTGGCCTTGAACACTGCCAGGGATGGGGCAGCCACAGCTTCTCTGGGCACCCTGTGCCAGCGCCTCAGCACCCTCACAGGGAAGAGCTTCTGCCTAAGAGCTCAGCTCAGTCTCCCCTTGGGCAGGTTCAAGCCATTCCCCTTGGCCTGTCCCTACAGGCCCTTGTCCCAAGCCCCTCTCCAGGTTTCCTGCAGCCTCTTTAGGCACTGGAGCTGCTCTAAGGTCTCCCCTTCAGGAGCCTTCTCTTCTCCAGGCTGACCCAGCCCAGCTCTCTCAGCCTGGCTCCATAAAAATGCTCCTTAGTCATCACCTATATCTGGCAGCAGCCTCAGCTAACTGTTAGCACAATGTGGGATTACTGATCATCAGGTGCAGCACTTGGTGGCCATAACCAGAGATGGGATCTCTGCTGCAGAACAGCAGTAGATATCCTGGTACCCTGGTCCTTTACTACCTCAACACTTTCTGACATGCAGCCCATCTGCCGTCTGCATTCTGGGGACATACCAGGCTTTGAATTTTCAATTGCTAAAGGCGTTTTCAACTTGCAGCTTACACATACCTAAATCTCAACTCTTCCATCTGTCTTTAGAGGGCTTAATACAGAAGCCAACAACACTTATTTCCCTGCAAGAGCAAAGGAGAATGGGCGTGATAAGACCCTGCAGTCCAGAAAGGTTCTGTGAAGGATTAGTACTGAATGAAAAGCCAGTGTCATGGGGAGAAATGGCTCTAATTCACATCAGAACAGCCTGTACATAAACTATTAGGAGGTCCAAAGATCCCTGTGCCTCTGGAGACATCAAGGCAGAGCTATCTTGCAGGTGCTGGCCTTTTCCTCCTGTAGAACAAGCCCTTTTGTTTTCTGAGGATATTCTTGGGTCTTGCTTAGACACAACCAAACCTATTTTTGGTCAGTAATAACGTGGAGCTCAACTGCTGGACCTGCCACATTCATAAGCCAAGACCTTGCTGTTCTGCTCATCTCCAAGTGTTCTCATGCTGCTAGTGCTCAACTAATCATTGTGAGCTCAACTGATTATTATGAGCTGTCATTTAAAGCGAAGAGTGTCATGTCCAGCTCCAAACCTGACATCATCTCTACAGATAAACACAAAGTCACAGAAGCAAACATTATTTTTGTGACCACAGTTTCCAGTTTCAACGACCGCTCCAAGCAGAAGGATAAAGTGCAAATCCATCCAGTTATGTATTTACTTAAAAGCCTTGTAAGGACCCGTTTCACATTACTGAGAACACTTTGGCACCAACTATCTGAGAATAAGCAAATATGAAAACAAACCATGAAGAAAAGGGAGCATAATTGGGAATTCTCAGGAATAGTTGACACGATGCCAAAACCCCACAGTCCCACAACTTAAAGAGGAGCTGTGCTGCTTTAATAGCATTCCTGGTGACTGTCGCAGCCTGCAGCAGAGCTGGCTCAATGTGTGGAGGACTTGCGAGATGAGCACATGCCCATCAGTTATCATTCCCAGTTTGCACCCACGGGCCAGATTCGGCTTCGAGGCTTCCTGATAAACTGAGTCCTGATCAGAATCTGAAAATGAAGCTGCCTGAGCTCACAGCTTCCCTTCCCCACTCCCCAGCAGTGAGTCAGACAGCTTTGCAGAGCGCTGAAGATCAAGAAGGGAAGCGGGATGATGAGCAGGCAGCAGCCAGCTGCTCCTCTCCCAAACACAGCAATAAGCTTTTCAAGTCCTTCTCTCTGGTTTCTTGGTAATCCAACCATGACACCAGCTGAGGCATCCTGCCTGCCTCCGAGGACACTGTGACTGGGGTCGGGGCTGCCATGAGCTGGCACCAAGGCACCCCTGCAGTGGTTGCTCCCATCTACCCAGCACTTCTGCAGCCCAGGCGGCACCCAAACCCATGCCACCTCACCCCAGGCAACTCCCTGCACCCTTCACCAGCTCTTCTCCTCCTCCAGACAGGAGATGGTGAGAAGCTGCCACTTGTGATAGGAGGGCTTGAGTGTACAGTTTCTTGGTGTGTCTAAATAGGAGATGCAAGGAGATTTATTTAGTATGCCATGCCTAGGCTATATATAATCCTGTAGTCCTGGGGATCAGGAAGAATTACTAGTTCTGCCATTTGATGTGTAATTTAGGTTCTGGGTTTGCTAGGCTTTTTACTTCTGTAGCATCAGCAAGCAGCCACAGGTAAAGGTGGATTTGGCATGGGAATCTTCATCCTGGTCCCCAACGCAGGATTAACCTGATCACCGCGGTTAGGATCAAGAAAGAGCTTTTCCTTAAACCAGGGATCACAGGGATGCCTTTATGATTTTCAGCTTCTATAAGATGGCATTACAGTACCAAAGGCCACCTGGCCATTTTTATTGAGCAAAACCCCTGCTGCTGCAGGAGCCCACAGCACTGACAGCCTTCACAGTCTCTCGCTTTCTACCTGACACACAGGTTTCTGTAGTATTTGGTGTTTTAGCCTTGAAGTTAAGTACATTAAAGTATCCTGGAGGATTATCTGTGGCTTTCGAAGCTCCAAGATGTTCCTCTGACCCCCTGGATTTAATTTCTATTTCAGAGTTGTCTGAGCTCACTGTGGCCCCATGCACTCCTCCAGCCTCCTCTTTCACCAGCTACATGGCACCTCACAGAGCAGAGGTATCCAAGAGCATCACTCTGATTGTTATCCTTCCTATTTACAATCATTTACCAGGAACACTCAGAAAAGCCTGCTCAGGGGCCATAATATACTATTATAATAATGTTTTATTCTCAATTAATTATTAGCTATATCTTTTACCAGCTGTCCTGCTATTTTATGCAGGAACAGCGTTCAGCAAAATAACTTCAGCAATTTCATTCTGTTCTTTGTTTTTAGAAGTGTTCCCTGCTCCCCACCCTCAGAAGCTTTCTCAGTATTTCACATTAGCACAGTACATGTTATTAAGCCCCAAGTTTCCCAGGAGTTTCTCCAAAAACACTTGGAAGCCCATTGCACAGCATCCCTAATTTAAATGCATTTGACTCAATAATACAGTTTAATAACCACCGTAGTTACAGTTTAGAAAGAAAAATATCTCATTAGCTCTGTAAATTTGCAATATATTACCCCCCTTTTTTTAATCACCAAGCAGAAATATTTGGGGAACATATTTGGCTTTTCAATAACACTACCTTCAATTTTATCATGCCCACTTAGTAGGGGACCTTAGACCAGCATTAGATTCTTTTTAATTCCCAAAATTGGATTTTCTTTTGTTCTTTCCTTCCCTAGCCAGATACTGTCAAATACTACAATAGCTCAGCTTAAAAGGTAAAACCCAGATAATTAGGGTTATATTAATTATTCGCTCTTCCCTTCTTTATGTATTGCATGCATATGTCTGCACTAACAGCCTCTGCCTGTCACCCACACTTAAAGAAGCATCTTTACCTCTAACAAGCAACACTATTATTTATGCATGTATATCATTCACATACATTTACTGTCAAGACACTGGCAGCCATCCAGCTGCCAACCTTATCAATATAAGCAGAGAAAGTGGAGAAGGGGCAGCCAGTGATTTCAGTGTCGATGTTGATTTGCAGACCAAGTTACTCCTTTCTGACAGGACAGGGGTTGGGCTGCTGCGTTACTCAAAGGTACAAAGCAATTTGTATTTGCTTATTTATTCTACTCAGCTGAATCATAGGTGCTTGGAATCTACTCAAACATGCAAAAAAGAAAAAAACAACAAAAAAACCTCTCTGGGAACAAATTCCTCTGTGTTTTCCCTCTCCAGCACTTTTGCTCAGCATTAAGGTTGTTGGGAGAAAGCCACACAGCATCCCCCTACCCTGGTTCCCCTGTTGCCCCAGGCCTTGCCCATTCCTTCCCCAGAGAAAATAAGGGGAGCCACTTGTGTCCCCTGTGACAAAGCAGGGTCTGGAATGACATCAGGCTGGTACCCACCTATCCCCATAGGTCACATCAGCCTTCCACTGGTGTTACCCTGACACATCCCTCCCGACCATGCCCCCGAGGATGGCTCCAGCTTACCAGAAGAGGACACACTAAAACCAGGGCTTGCCTCTTCACTGAAGATAAAGAAAAGGGATGCTCTTAGACCAAGCAGTTCTCAGGGGCAAGGACAGCTTTTAAAGGCTGCAGATTTGACACAGTTGAGGGCACCCCAGGTATCAGCCTCATCAGCTCCTCCCTGGCAATTGGGCTCTAACAGCAGCCATCTGGATCAGCTCACCATCTGCTGGTCCTGCTGCTGTGGTATCTGTACTGCCCCAGACCACTGAGTCTGCCTTTCCCTGTGCAGTCCCAACACACAGAGGGACAGCAGAATTCATCTGCAGGGGAAGGGAGGGTTGCTGGAGGAGCCAGGTTGGAGGGAAGTAGGTGGGTTTGCACAGAGAAACTGCCAGCAGGCTTCAGAAAAGCAAGAGCATCTTCTAGGATGCATGAAGGATTCAGTGTGTTCATCCAACCATACTGAGGCATTGATTTCATAAAAGCTGACTTTATTTTGGATTAGATCCCTTGTGATGCTCTCTATCCTGCCCTGCTGCATTACCCCCTTGCTTGAGTCCCGCAGTGGGGACAGAGCAGCTCGGTGCAGAAAACCATGCTGCTGGTTGGAGGGGGATGGAGGCAGGAGCAGAGATGCTCGGGGACAGGCCAGGCAGGCTGTGCACAGCCTGTGATTGCTGTTCTGGAGGCTCAGCCAGACCTGCGAGCTGCTCTGCCCCTCCCCAGTGCCTCCCCCCAGCTCTCTGCGCTCCCTTCCCTGCCCTCGGGTTCTACGGCTATAATCAAATCATAACTTTTATTAAATTTGAGATTACTTTTTAATGGAATCAATTTCTTGCGTGGTGCTTTTCCCTTCTGCCCCACGGCTCAGCTGCGCTCTGCACTGCTCTGGTTTTACTCTCGCTTCTCTCTCTGCTGCTGCCCTAATGCTAAATGCCGGCTGCATAGGGAAGCACCCACGCCCCTGTCCTGCCTGATGGACAAGATACAGCGTTTGCTGTGTGATGATGCTCGCCTCTTTTGTTGCTGGAGCAGACATCCCTGCAGAGATGGGGCAGGGACAGCAGGATTTACCCCATGTTGCAGGTGGCAGCATGGATGGTGTTAGCACTTCTGGGTTCAAGAAGTTATCATAGAATCACAGAATCCCAGCCTGGTTTGGGTTGGAAGGGACCTTAAAGCTCACCCAGTTCCAACCCTTGCCACGGGCAGGGACACCTTCCACTAGAGCAGCTTGCTCCAAGCCCCTGTGTCCAACCTGGCCTTGAGCACTGCCAGGGATGGGGCAGCCACAGCTTCTCTGGGCACCCTGTGCCAGCGCCTCAGCACCCTCACAGGGAAGAGCTTCTGCCTAAGAGCTCAGCTCAGTCTCTCCTCTGGCAGGTTCAAGCCATTCCCCTTGGCCTGTCCCTACAGGCCCTTGTCCCAAGCCCCTCTCCAGGTTTCCTGCAGCCCCTTTAGGCACTGGAGCTGCTCTAAGGTCTCCCCTTCAGGAGCCTTCTCTTCTCCAGGCTGACCCAGCCCAGCTCTCTCAGCCTGGCTCCAGAGCAGAGCTGCTCCAGCCCTTTGATCATCTTCATGTCCCTTTTCTTCCAAAGGGAAGGGACCCCTCACCTTTCCCTTGGCTTTGCTGCTGCATTGGAATTCCTGTGCTAGACCCAGTTGCTCTGAAGCTCCTGAAGCTCAGACAGGCTGAAGGCACCTGACAGGGGCTCCCATCGACCTGCTCATGGCTCCTGCCCAGGCTCTGTGAGGATGCCTGCTCCAGGACTGCCCCGCAGGCAGGCTCTCTCCATGATGAAGTGGACCACATGGATGCCACCAAGCACCGCAGCTCAAGCCCAGGCTTCCCAGCCTTCATGGGTTTTCAGTTTCCTAATAACCATATTGCCCCAAATGGCTTCAGCTGCACAATTTTATGTAACTTTGCAGTCACCTTCCCCACCTCCCCTTCTGCTTATTCTTTTCTCTTTCTTCCTACAACACCTACAGATTGTATTATATCCTCAGATGCAAAAATGCCTATTCTCATTTCACTTGTAGCTGTATAATGACAGCAAGAAAAATAACAGTGACAGTTTTTATTTGGTCCTTCTCCTGCTGATGTTCTTGAAAAGGCATTTTAAGATCCTAACTTCAGATCTCATGTGCAGATGTTATAGGTCTCCCAGCTTTCTCGGTTAGAAACTCTATTTTCTCAGTTCTCATTTGGGAACAGCAGGTCAGGCTGCCTCCTCCTTGTTTCAAGACCTGGCTCTTGTCCAACCATCTTTCTCACAAACTTTCTCCCAGTTTGTAATACCTGAGTTTTGAGAAGATGGATTTAGCTCTGGTCCGAAGGCACGCAGCGCTCCGGCTCGTGGGCTTTGTGCTGTCTATTAGGTAGTTTCATTGAATTTCTGTGGGAATTCAAATTTAATTCCTCCAAAACAAATAAAGATGTATTATCTGGAGTGGTTTCTTCAGTCGAAGCTGGAGTAACAGGTACTGAGCACAGCGATGTGCAGAGGTGCCCTGAGGCTGCCCCAGCCTTTCAAACCTGCGTTCAGCACAGCTCCATGCCCAGCCTGCACCCAGCACGTACCAAGGGGCCAGTCAAGGTGTATCATGGGGCACAGACCACACCAGTGATTAATTATTCAAGACAACAAGCAAAAAACTTCTCTAACCCAACCTTTTGCTTCCACCAGCCTGTTTGATGCTTACGTCACACTGTAAGCATCCTAAATATTTGTCTTAAACACAATGCCTG